TTCGTTCAGTATTTCACGAAGTCATTCAATTATTTTCAATTGCTCACTAGAAAAATGACATAATCATGTACTTTCTGAGAAAACAAGGATAAGGGCTTTTCTCAGAGATTTCGATAAAATATCTCGAAATCGCAGGAGCATGAAGATATTTTCATATATACCTTTTTATACCCCTCATCTTTTTCTATCATAAAATGTATCTGCAAAAAAAATCTTCATCGTTCCTTCAATTCCGAGATATTGGCTAGAAGACTATAAAATAAAAAAATGCACTTATCCTAGTTTATCACTCCATACTAAATTTGTCATTGGAAAAATGTACTTTGTAGTGAAATAATGAGCTCCCTTGTCCTCGTGGAATGTTTCTGAAGCTCGAGATTTTGAGGAAAAAAAAGGTAAATTCCAAATATTTGAAGGATTTAATAATTCTCCCGGTATTACCTCAAGTGTCACTTCAACCTCATTTTTCCCCCAATACTAGGTGTCCTCGTGCGCCGTGTAATCGTCAGTCGACAATTGGCTATTGCAGAGACATACGACAATTAACAATAATTCTGGTTTAATTTTCGCTGTGGAGATTCCGTGGAACTCCATCAGTTAGACTACGTAAGTTTCTTATTATTCATTCTTCCTCAGTCGGCATTATGCATGAGAGTGATCGTGATAATGCTGACGCCACTCCAAAGACTAAAAAAAAATTAATTAATAATCAAGTGATTTAAATGGAGTGGATTATGGTAATTTCATCGAGATTTGAATCGCGGGAGTTAACGAGTTATCTTATCTGTAGCAGGATGCAAATTACACCCCGGAATTATCAGTGAAGGATATTTAGTTTTTTTATACAAGTTAAAATAACATGGAGTAAAATTTGTTCTTAAATTTGTGCTGATGCTATTGTAGCAAACACCAACAATTCGGTAACAAAATTTATTCAACAAAAACATTGTCTTAATTCAATTAATTAGCAACTACTAATTGAACAACACTTTATAAAAGATCATTCATTCATTAATTATTGATGGTTAATTATCAATTATTTCTCCCTTTTTTTTCATCAAGTTAATGCACTCAACAATTAACTTAAGTAATTTAAATTACTGTATAATTTAATAGTTTAATGGATTCATCGTATCACGCATTGACTATCTGGTATCGATTCAACTATATTTCATGGGGAGATTGCGTAAAGGAGTAATTATGCAACTAACTGTCAATTGTTAATCGCTAAATACTTGATTTTAGTGAATAGATTCAGGTATTGATGATTTTTGTTAATTACTTGTATCACCCTGAGTGCACCCTCCGTTAATTAAGTTGAATAGAATAAAAATGTACCAACATTTTTTGGTAACTTATCAACATTTCTTATCAACAAACAATAAAAGATCATCAATTAATCGAATTGCTTAGTTTAATCAAAACAATTAATTTAATCAATTACCTCTATTAATTATTTTTCTTTAATTATTTATTTTATTATGTATTATTTATAAAAAAAAGTTGATAAATATCTAATTGATTAACGGGATGAATGAAATAAATGAATTGGACTATTGATTTTTTTTTTGCAATTGCTCTTTGCATCGATCCTTCATTGAATTAAATAAAGTACAAATATAATGAAACTTTATACTCAATCAACTCAGGGACTTATAATTTTTTTTTACTCCAGAGTCGTCTGAATAATGATGATGTCGACAATTGTTATTATACTCCTGGGACTCGTTGGTGCATCCAGAGGGTTCACTGGTCGAGGTGTCATGTATCCAGGGAGAACTGATCTCTTCGAGCTTCCCATTATCCACATAAATGACTTTCATGCGAGGTAACGAAAAAACAATTCCCAGGATTTATCAATTATCTCAATTATTTCCAGCGAAGGCCATCCAAATTTTCAAACTATTTCAAATATCTCTCGATTCAAATCACGAGCAAAACCGTTGAATTTTTCGTGATGGCAGTACCAGAGTCAAACCAAAAGATCCGATGAGTGGATTTCGTTTAATTAACTAATGAGTAAACAATAATATTGGGCGTTGACTTAATTACGAATTCAATAATATTTTATTCAACTATTTGATCACAAAAATCATTACTCAATTAAATGTTAATTATTAACGATCAATCTAATAAAATAGAAGAATAAAAAGTATATTAATAAAACAGAATAAATTCATGGCATTATGCATTTATTATCTGCGATTGATTTAGTTATATTAGAATGAAATCACGAGTAGACGGAGGCTGGAATTGTTGAATAAACTAATTTTTCTTTTTTTGGAATTTCTTTCATTCCGTCTTCTTTGATTCGACGAGGCATTCGAAACGAAAAGGACTAGAAATTCTTTCATTCGCTCTCAGACTAGAGTGGCACTTGCTCTAAATTTAGTAAAAAAGAAAGAGTAAATTGAATTCGGTACACTTGGAACATTATTTCGCGACAATTCCACTTGAAAAAGATTTGTTGAGGAACTCTTGTCGTCGAATTCAACGTAAAAGATCCGATTATGACAATGGCAATTAATCAGCGGCTCATTAAACAACTTGATTTATTCCCCTTAGGGTCTTCTGAAAAGAAATTCCCCTTCTAATTTATAGTCTTCGTCGTTTCACCAGCGAATTTAATTACAGAAATAACGAGTAGTACAGACTATTATTTGAAATTGTAGAAAATTATGGAGTTAAACATAATCAACGTGGTCTATATAGTGGTGGTCCACTTTGTTAATGTTCAGTATTAAAAAATTATTGGAACTGCTAAATTAATTATGCGAAACGAGGCGATAAGACTTGTTCCTGGTTTGAAGAACTGTTCATTCTCGAATGACAAGAGGTAATGAATGGAGGTAGAAAGGAATTACTCAGGAGGATAATTTTTTCTTGTTGAAGGCCGTTAGTGGTATTGTCATTGGTGAACTCTCAGGGAGATTATAAAAAATTATAGAAGGCTGTTTTTCTAGTGGAATTGTCGTGATTATTGAAAAGTTAAAAAAGTGTGCTACAAAAAATTACAACAATAAAATACACCCTTTCTTTACAACATTCCAGTGAATTTCTATTGTAGTTCTATGAGAATTCTGTTGGGCTTCTATTGCTCCTATTGCTTCTATTGCTTCTATTGCTCTTGTGTGTCGATCCCAAAAATTAGAATTCATGTTGATCAAGCACAAAAATAATTAATAGAAAAAATTGGAGATTTTTGGAATAAATTCTCTTGAAGCATTTTTCGATCTCAAGTGATTTTTAGTAAGCGGTGATGGTGATTTAATTGTTAGGAGTTAATGGTTTTTGTGTTTTGGTCTTTGTGAATTTGTGAAGGTACGAGGAAGTGGGCCCATGGGCTGGTACTTGTCATCGTGACGAAGGTGAGGAGTGCGTTGGTGGCCTTCCTCGGCTCTTAACAGCAATTAAACAATTGTTCGAGGAGCGAGGACCCAATTCTATTTTTCTCAATGCGGGAGATCATTACCAGGGGACACTTTGGTACAATGTCCACAAGTGGAATGCCACTGCTGTATTCCTCAACATGTTGCCACATGATGCCATGGTAATTACATATACAAATATATTTGTCTCAATCCATTGACCGAAAATTACTTCTGTAAATTACAATTTTTTAGCATGATAAGTTATTTTATTGGAATTCATTTTTCAACCGCCAGTAAAAATAATGAAATATCGTCTACTTTTCCAAATTATCACGCGGCTTTCGGTGATTTTATCCTCACAAAGTTAATTATGAAGTACAATTCATGAAATTATTGAATTATTATGTATTTACGAGTATAAATGTAGTTAATTATACAATTAATATGTGCGGAAATTTTTATAAATTTTGTAGATACATATACCAATAAATATTGTGTGTTTGTGAATACTTGATTTTTGTGGAAAATTGTGGGGAAGCGCGTAATGCACTGGAGAAGTTGAAGCAGTTTAGATGACAACTAATTTCGCATAAATTATCCATCTGCTGAGGTCTAATTGCACCGAATTTTATTGTTAATCTATGATTAATTGTCCAGACAATTGGAAATCATGAGTTCGACGACGGAATCGACGGACTCGTGCCTTTTCTAAAAAACGTCGAAGCACCAGTGGTTGTTACTAACATTGATTACACCCATGAACCAAGAATGCAGGTAATTAACAACAAATTTTATTAATTTTTCCAAATTAATCATTATTCATTTTCAATAACTCAATTTTGTTGAACGAAAGAATGAATCCATTTGTTTTAGAAATGATGAATTCATTTCAACCACGCAACTTTAATTCTCTATTAATTTTTAAATACCAAATTTGAGTATTTTATTCATTAAATGATTAATTAATTTTTCAGGGTTTAATGAAAAACAGTACAATAATAACGAGAGCCGGCAAGAAAATCGGGGTGATAGGAGTTATTTTCCAGGGAACACCAGTAAGTCTTTTGCAAAAATTAATTGTCTGAAAGTCTTTTTTGATTGTTGATAGAATTCCAATGGGCATTCACTAGGAATTCCATGACTAGAAATTCTGTAGCCGTCATATTGAGTGACGCAATGATTTCTAGGAGGAATTATATAATTTAACGTCATATTTTTGGCGAAAACGGCACGACGGAATTTCGCCAATTTGTTGAGGATATTTTAGCACAGGAACTTGAGAAAAAATGTAATTATTTCATTTTCAATGATTTCATTTAAAATATTCAACAGTTTTTCATCATATGACTGCATTCATTATCATATTATCACATTTCATAATATTCTATCGACTCTTGAAATATGTCACTAGATCTCGAACAGATTTTCGTTACTCTGCAGAAAAAAATCACGATATTTCCCATTTTTTGTAAAAAATTGACATTTTCAATAAAAACATTTTGACAAAATCTACCAGATGGAAAGAAATTTCAACAATTCAACAACAATAGTAATTCAGCAATTCTGATCATAAAATCTGAATAAAAATTACATAACGTTGAGTTATGAATGAAAATTGCGCGACAAATGGTAAATTTTCCTCAGTATTGTGCAATTTTTACTCCAATTGTTCTAGTAAAAATGTCTGACAGCACAATGTCCATTCAACTTTAAAAATGACAAAGCGTCATGAAATAGTTGATGAGCTGTTGATGAATCGTTGAATAAATTATTAGAAATTTCTCTCTGTGCAATTTCAGTCGAATTGCCACATTTTTCCATGCAATTTTTCCATGCGTGAAGATTTAATTACAGCATCAATTATGATCTTCCTGCAGTCCATAGCCAGCACTGAGAAGTTGATATTTCTTGATGAAGTGGAGACCGTAAACTTAGAGGCGGAGAAGCTGAAGAGAGAGGGTGTCGATATAATAATTGTCCTGAGCCACTGTGGAATTAACGTCGACAGGATAATGGCCGCTAATTGTCCTTTGATCGATGTTATCGTCGGTGGACATTCTCACACATTTTTGTATTCAGGTATTTTTTTTTTAATTTCATACTATTTTCATTCTTCTCCGAAAGCTTATTTCCAGGAAGTCTTCTTCACGGAATTTATTATCATTTTCATTTTCTGTCAATCGTCTTCATCTAGTCAATGTCCAGCATTCTCGACAGCCGGAGACAATTGAGAAAATCGCTTGGTCATTGATCATGCGCGCTAAATCCTCAATGACAATTTTTTATCAGCACGCAAAATAGTGGTTGTGATAGAAACAGTTATTAATTCTTCAACTGTCACGTGAATTCAATGCGCAATTGCGTGAATCAGTTTGACAAATCATTTTCTCATAATCATTGAACAGTCATTCAATAATTTAATCACAATAAAGCAAAACGTGGAGAAACCTTTGAAAAAATCATACGCCTTTTTTAGAAATTGTTGAATTTCTGGTGGGACTTTAAAATATTTTGGTAAAAATTGTTTTGAAATTTCTTTGAAGAATTGAATTGTTCTGTAAAAATTCATTGTTATATAATTGATGGAAAAAAATATCGTGGGCAAAAGTTTATACTTAATTTCCCTAGAAAAATATCAATTTATTGATATTGTTTAGCAACTATCCCATAAATAAATGACACGATAAAGTTGCAAAATATCTTATAGATATAAAACAGAAAAAAAAATTATTAAATTGAATTCTAACGGGAATTCAAGAGAATTCTCGTAGAATTTGAATTTCTCAGAGAAAGCGCTAAATTTTCTAATTAATTTTTTAAATTCACTTCTTTTTTTCTGGAATCTCACTAAAAATCCGAGTATATTCCAAAACTCCTGAAAGCTTGAGTTATTCGAAAAAGTTCAATGAGATTTCTACAGATTCCGATACAGATAGTTTTTAATGTGTTTGTTCAGTGGCAAAATTGAGAAGAGAATAATATACTGAATTTATTTCCAGGTGATAAACCGCCATTTGTTGATACGCCCGAAGATGTTTATCCGGTGGTAGTAACCCAGGATAACCCATTCCGAACAGTTTTAATAGTTCAGGCTGCGGCATTTACCAAGTGAGTCGTATCTATAATTCAAAGTTAATAAATTCAATAATAAAGCGGTAAAACCATCCAAATAATTCTAAAAATTGGCTAGTTTTCAATAGATATTTTTAATTGAAGGCTAAGATGGAATTTTTCACTAAAATCTTCTTTACGGAACTAGTCGAGAGGCACTAAAAATGTTGAAAGGATGCAAAGATAAGGTTGACAAAAAAGTCAAAGGCAATTCAATTAAAACCTCGTTGATGTACCTCATTGTGTTTAAACCGCCTGAACATGTCTAATGTATGAAGGTCTGGTTTTCACAAATTAATTGTTAATTAAATAACAGTGAAAAGTAACTCTAGGTGATGTAGTCGCAAAAACCGTCTACCTTAGCATAATGAAAAATATATTTTTACTTGAGATCTCGTTGGGATCTTGATCATAACTTAAACTATTGTACAATTGCTCGGTCAAGTGTCGCCTCAACTATAATTGGGGTAATTGAATAAAATAAATATATAATTGTTTTCTATAATGTTATTATAAAAATCTCGATATCCATCTTAGATGTGGAGATAAAGTCAATAAATCCAATATTAAAGTAATTGAAGTCTTCATGTCGACTTCGAGTTAATTTTTTATGGTTATCTCAGAATTTATAGCTGCTAGTAAAATTTGCATTAGAATGTTTTTTGTACAGATAATTTGTGCTAATTGTGCGCTACAAAAAAACGGTAAATTCTAAAATTTTTACTGTCTCGCTTAGATTTTGAGATAAATTTGATAAATTTAGGGGGAAACTGTTCAAACCCGTTTTGACTCTTGGGCAGTTATAAGTGAATATCTCAAAATTTAAGGCCGATATCAAAATTTTCATTAAAATTGTTTTTCACAAACTAATTAAGAGCTACAAAAAAAGTTATAATGAAAATTGCCATATCTCCGTTCGAATCGGAGATATTCCTAAAAACTGATCTAATTTTATCAGAAATCAATCGATGATAAATTGTATCGCATTTTGTTATTGAATTAACCGCAGACTCTGTTAAATGATGAAAATGTGATGGATTTAGTGATATTATTTTCACCTCTTCTTCAGATATGTCGGAAATTTGACAGTTTGGTTCAACGAAGCGGGTGAAATTGAAGACTGGGACGGGAACCCGATTCTCCTGGACGCAGGAATTCCTGAAGATCCCGACATGCTGAAAGCTCTAGCTCCCTGGAAGATTGCGGTGGATAAACTCAGCAACAAGGTGGTAGGAGAATCCAGAGTAGAACTCCGTCACTTCTGCAGAATCGGTGAATGCAACATCGGAAATTTGATCACTGACGCGATGATCGACGGCGTGAGTTCCTTCTCCTGGGATTATCTCGGAGCCAATCGCTTCCAGAGAAATCTTCAAAGGAACCTTTTTCTAGCTCTTCAACTTCTCTACAAAAAAGCTTCTTATAAATTTCCTCAGAAATCACTCGTTAGTTCAGATTTTTTAATCATCATAATTTTTTTTACCTTGACTTTTAGTTCGTGGAAAAGGCGGAGAACAAGAGCTTCTGGAGCTACGCAGCTATCGCGGTGATGAATGGAGGTGGAGTGAGGGCTGGAATTTCCTCGGCCAGTGGAGTCATCACTTACGGTGATGTGGTGGTAGCTCAGCCCTTCGAGAACATGTGGGATGCCGTGGAAATGTTGGGCAAGGACATCCGAGAGGTATTCGTCGTAGATTATCTTGATAATGATTGCACGTGGGGAAAAACGACATAAGACTTTTTTTTGGAGAATTGAATTTCCCACGAATATCGTCTTATGACTTTTTCTCGTAAACCCACAACTTACTGAGTTATGACAAATTTTGTTTACAGACCCTGGAAGTGAGTGTTGCGATTGGCTACAATGACACGAAATTTCCCAATCGGGCGTACGTTTTTTGGGCTGGTCTGAGGGTCACCTATAACCTGACAGCTGAAGTCTACTCCAGGGTTGTAGATGTCAAGGTTCGATGCAGAAAATGTCAAGTGCCTGAATTCGAGGACCTCAGGGACGACCAGTGGTACAGAATCGTCATTCCATCGTTTCTCCTGTCAGGAGGCGACCGTCACACGATTATCCAGAAGAGACACAGGAATCGAGTTCATGGAATGAGGGACATCGATCAATTAACCAATTTCATCACAAAAAGGAGCCCTCTGTTCTACGGTAACGAACGGAGGGTCCTTTTTATTGATGAGGATAATTCCGTGTAAAGTTTAAAGTTTAAGTTTCTTTTCTCTAAAATTTAATTTAGAAAAAAATTTGCCAATCTATTACTCCATTCTATCGAGAGATAGAATATGTTTTCTCGAACAATTGTATCGATTATACGTTTGTACATTTCAGACTACAAATTCATTGTGAGATATTGAGATATTCAATGTTTTGAGAGATAAATTGTATTTGAATTTATATTTTTAATGAATGACTGAAGCTGTTGTGTACTTTTGAAAATTAAATTGATGGGCAGTCTGGATGTAAATTACTCATAGACGGAGACATGGTAATGTTTATATTGTGAATATTGTTGTTGTTCTTCTATAACTTATAATTTTTCATTGATTTTCAATATTATATAATACACATAATAATATAATATAATATATTATTTTGTATAAACTCAATTCATAGATGACAATAGAATTCTAGACACAAGAAAAAAAACAAAAATGAGGAACAATTTTGGGGTTTATTATTGTTGGGTTCTGGATGGATGCCGCTTTTGGTTTCAGCTTTTTGCTTGAGAAATTTTAAACAGCATCCATCCGGAAGCCAACAATACTAATAATTATGGCCGCGAGAGCCTCAAAACTGAGATTCTAGGGTTTCCCCCTGAGCTCGGATCTACATGTTTCCCCAGATATTCAATTTTTCCAAATTTACCCTTGATTCTACGTACATTCATCTTGTAGATGATTTAAAAGAATGATGATTACTTGAAGGGCCTATTAAAATCAAAATTTCTAATTAATTTCTTAGAATGGAGTATATACTCCTCAGCTGTAGAGACCACGAAGAGATAAGGGACAAACTGTCAATGGAAAATTACCAGATGGGTTTCTCACTGAATTCCCACGATGTTTTATTGGAAACAATCAAAGTCCTCGAAATGACAAGATCAGAGACAAAATCTAAGAATGTAAACTATACCCACAAACAAAAATACATATGTATATGCAACCTGAAACTAGGTACTCGCTGTTGACCCTGAAATTCTACAGCGCTGTTAAATTAAATTGATAATAATGAAAATTTAAATAGAAAAAAAAATTACACTCTCGATCCTGAGGGCTGATCTAAGACTCTTCGGGGAGGGAGTGACTTGATTTCCAAAATTTAAACTTTACATCAACCAATCGCCGATTTTACATCATATTCTCTGAGTTGTTGGTAATAAAATTTTTACAGATCCCAAAGATAAAAAAAAATGAAACAAAATTTCAATTTGGATTTTTGGAGAGAACTTTCACCTTTCTTAAACAGCGAAGTTTTGCATTAGTTAACCGTTTATTTGGCGAAATTAAGGATGTTCTGCCGGTATTTTGTTATTTTTCTTATTTTTCTGAGATTTATTGAAAACTATCGATCGGTTTGGGATATGAAAATATAGCGGTTGCCCGCTACAATATTACCATACACCAATTTTTATAATTTTTCATTAAAATTTATTGATTTTTTATTAAATTTTAGTGAAAAGTTACAAAAATTAGTGTATCGGGATGAAACTTTATGGAAGAGTCAATCATGATGGAACGGACAAACGCTATATTTTCATATCCCAATCCGATCGATAGTTTTTAATAAATCTCAGAAAAACAGGAAAAATAACAAAATACCAGCAAAACATCCTTCAGATAATAATAAACGACACAATATTGTAAATCAACAAAAAGTATAAAAACAAAGAAAAAATATTTCCATCGTCCTCTTAGGACTCTCTAACTCTAGATTAGGATTGGTATTTTTTTCTACGATTCGTTTCTATTAGGAGGAAAATGACTTTATTGGAGACACAGCTGAGTTATCATGAAGCCGTACACCAAATCATCATCTCTACGATACTCTCATCCGTTCCTTTGTTGTTAACGAAATCAGAGAAAGAGATTTGGGAAATAAAGAGAAGGAAACGGGCTCTATCGTCGCGTATCTTGAGATCAAGGCAGGTGAGGCATTTAAATAATATATCGAACAGGTGAAATGGCAGCTGTTGGGGAGGCACATCGTGCCACTCACTACCCACAGCCATCCCAGCCAAGAAATCTGATGAATCTTCAACAAATCCATTTTATTTTTCTACAAAATTCCTCAAAAAAATCCTTTAAAAAAATAATTCGAAAATTCTCAATAAATCCTCCGATTCCCTAAGATTTATTTCGAAAAAGTTCATCATTATTTCATCATTAAAACTAACAACAAAATATGGTCTTTTGCGAAATCTTTTGACAATAATTTGTATTAAGGATGTTCCACACCCCCATATATTCGAAATTCACATTCTTAAATTTTTTTTGGCAAATTGTCGATGGGATTGATGGGAAAAAATATAAAATTTTAGTGTTTTGTCATTATTTAATTGCTCACGAGGTTTGTACTGGTGCGATAATTTTCATGCATTTTTTCTACAGTTTTGAGATTCTTTTTGGAAGTTAAGAAAAAAACGTAGAAAAATTTTCGCACCATTTTGACACTTCGTGAGTTATTAAATACTGACAAACCGCAAAAACCTTTATATAATATTTTTTCACGGCAATCCCTTCGTAATTTTGCAAAAAAATAATGAAAATCCGGTAATTTGGGCTATATATGGGGGTAGAACACCCCCCTAATGAAAAATAAGATTCATTCATTTGTAGATCTTGAAATTTTCCAAAAATAATTTTTTCTAACATTTCCCCTTAGAGAATTTAATTTCCAAAATAATGTTCATTTGAAAAAATAGAGTCGAAAGAAAGATGAGGAAAATAGAAACCGAATAGTTTCATGAGGAAAAACTTCCCATTAATTATTTCTTCTATCACTTGAAAACGGAAAGGACAGGGTGGAATTCAAACTCTAATTTCCCTTGTCTAATCACTAATCGAGCACGAGTCGGGCATTAAATTGATCGGACGAGCCGTAAATTAATTATCCATCGGCACCCATCTTGTTAGACACTTAAGTGTTGCAATTAAATATTGCAATTGCAATATTTCTCTCTTCGGCAAATATCCCGGAGTGCAGAGTATCGATTAAACTTTCTCATGCCGATTTTTCGTTGGATGAGAGACTTACAGCGATTTCATAATCTCAGGGTGCTAAGATCTGCATCAGAAACTCATCCTCAAGTTCAATAGTCATCTCGTTCCAACCCTTCATCCTGAATTTGAGGGTTTTTCCATTTTCTGGCAAACTTATTGCGTTATTGGCGTAAAAAAACATAACATTTTTGCGTTTTGTCATTATTTAATGGCTTACCAAATGTCGAGGGGGTCCGAAAATTTTTGTCAGTTTTTTCTAAATTTTTTTTTTAAAAGAAGAATCACAAAACTGTGGAGAAAATGCGTGAAAATAATCGCACCACCATTTTTTTACTTCAATCTCATCGATAATTTGTCAAAAAATTTCGAAAACGTGAATTTTTATTAGAAGTAATTGTGGAACATCCTTGAAATACATCATAAAATACCTGAACTTCCGATTTTACCGTTTTTTAATAATTTATAAAAGTTCCAAATTATAAAAAGTGATAATTTACCGAATGCCATACTTCAAAATTCCTAAGCACTAAACACTCATTCTAATAATACTAAGTCGTCTAGAACATATTATAATCCTCAATTTCCATAAAATTCGATTATTTATGCTTATTTCGAATTGCGGTTTATGATCGATTATAAATGCCATATTTTGAGTTTGACATTCGGGAATATATCAAAATTTCTTTGAATTTGGTCTTGAAGTGTTTAATAATGTTAAATGTTGGAAAATTACACTTGAAATTAAAAAATGACCCGAAAGTTCTCTGGAATCCCTCATTGGCCAATTAGATTATTTTCCAAATATTTTCCTAATTCTCCAACATTGTAAATATTGAAAATTCAAAGTATTTGATACTCAATGTTCACGATGAGCCCAAAAATTCAAGCTTTCACCAACAAATCAATTATTATTCAATATGGAATATCCACTTTTCCTGCATTTGCAAAACAACTAAATAATTTAGTGAACGTTTTTTTTCCATAAAAAAAATCAAATTCTAATTCATATAATTGTAACTCCAAATGATTGTGCCTGAATTTTCAAGAAATGTTTAATAATGAATAAGAATAATGTAGAGGACATAAAAACTATATTTTTCGTTAATTTATAATATTTTTTAATGAAAGGGCTCACCTAAGACCTAATTTACTAAAACTTTACTAAAAGGATTGGGGTATCATAAATAATAAAAATAGCTAAAATGAGAGAGGAATGGAGAATAAAATGTAGAGAGGAGCGGAGATAATAAATACGCAATTATATAAATAAATATTTTTTAAAAAATGAAAAAAAGGTGAAAGACCGGCGGCGCTGGTGTCGGCGATAGGTTCTGACACGAGTGCCTCATCTCCAGCCGTCAGTTCGCCAAGAGCCGTCGGGCTCGGAGGATCGCACCTGTGAAAATTTAACAACTTCAAAATTCCGAAAATTCCCGAAAAAAATCACCTCCCCCTCCCATTAAATAACACCTTCCACCTCCCCGCCTCGGCCATTCTGTGCCCCTAAAGAATACAAAAACGCAAACTCGAGCAGAAAAAACAGTGAAAACTTTTGGAAAAGTGAAATGTGTTCAGCAAATCGGTGCTAATTTAAAATTAATGAAGCTGTCGAAACAATTAATCCTGGGAGTTAGATTATGCCTTCACCCCAGTACCTTCACCAGGACATCTTCAAGGGGAAATTATCCCGACGTCTCGATCTGTGAAAAATTATGGAAAAGAGGATAACCTTGAACTCGTAAAAATTCCTCTCTTTAACCTCAATTTTCAATTGAATTCATTGGATTACTGGATAATTAGTTTTCTTAGGGATTTGTCTTTGATTTGTTTTTTGACGTGTGTGAGGGCAATTGAGGGATCAGAAGTTTTTTTCAGCTGTCGTGACAAAGTGACAGTTCGAGATGATTTCTTGAATAAATGAGAAAAGTAGAGAGTAAAATCTTGTCTGGAGGATCTTGGATTTGCATAATTGTGTGTGGGCGAGCAGTTGGTGACAAATATTGCTATTGTAGACAAGACGTTGATTGTCGTCCAGGGGGAGAGGATGAAACATGAGGGGGAATGACATGATGGAGGACGCTATGTCTGAGGTAATGATTTTATTCAATTAGGCTGTTATCACGGAAACCAGTGGGCTCCGGAAAAAAGGCCGAAGGAACTTTTTACAGGGAATTTTATGCCCCACAAAAAAGTTTCTATTACTTTTTTTCCTAAAATGACTGATTTCCGCGATAATCGTTCAAATCAACGAGGACCATTCGTAGGTCATGATTCCAGTCGGTATTTGGTAATCAAACAATTATCTCGTAATTACCTCGGGAACGAGTAGGTTCCGGGGAAAATGTCATAAGTTCTTTTTTAAGGAGAATTTCACGCTCTAAAAAAAATTCTAATCACTTTTTTCCGTGAAATTGATGATTTGTGAGATAATTGCGAAACTAATAGAGATGATTTCTCAAGTCATGATTCTATTAAGTATTTGGTAATACCGTAATTACTTCGGGAACGCGTAGGATCCTGGGAAAATGTCAGAAGAACTTTTTACGGATAATGTTTTTCTTTACAAAAAAGGTATAATAACTTTTTCTTTTAAAATGAACGATTTCCGAGATAATCGCGAAACTAATAGAGACGATTTGCCAAGTAATGATTTTATTCGATATTCGGTAATCATGCAATTACCTCGTGAACTACTGGATCTCAGGAAAAATGTCAAAGGAACTTTTTACGGAGAATTTCGTGTTCTATGAAAAGTTTCAACGACTTTTCCTTCTAAAATCAACGATTTCCGAGATAATCGCGAATCCAGCAGAGAAAATTTCGTTGCACTCATTCAACAACGAATTAAATTGCATCTCGTGGAATAATTCAACGATAATTACCGTCTCCCTTCCGTCCCGTCCCTGTTAATTAAATTCCCCTCTCCAAGCGCTGCGTAGCTCTTCATCCTCGTAATAAAAATAAATGGAATTCTCCTTGTGAAACTTTGGAATTAAACTACTTCAATATTTCTCGCAATGCTCCACCATAAACTTTACTCATAAAAGCTTTTCTTTCCGGGCAATGCCGTTGTAAAAATACTAGCCGATTTCGCCAGAGCTTTTCACTGCGGATTAATTTCTGCCTCTTTCAAACCTCAATAGTTAACAGGAAGTGGGCAGTAATCGATAACATAAAGCACCTGACAATTTCACATAAAATTTAATAAATTATTTAAATAAACTATTTTGGCTCTCATAATGCTCTTGAATATATTTTTATTCCTTTTTGCCGTCTTACTGTCAAGGAATGGAAAAATAAATACATTAGTAATGAACCATGAAAAATTCAATTAATTATGATTAATACAGCAGCCAAACGGTATACAGGAATTAAATCGAATTAACCTTTGTTCTTTATTATCGATTTATCTCGAAAACTATCGGACCCAGAGGATAATGTCGTTGACCTTTTTTTGAATTGGTTAAATTTCTGACAAAAAAGGTCCTTTAATATTGTCGCCTAGAATCAATGGTTTTTTAGATAAATTGAACCTCAACTAAACTGTCAAATTGATTTATATCTTTCACTATTTAACTAGTATTGAGAAATTCCACTTGAAATTCTAAGTAAAAAACGTACAATTTCAAAAAATTCGTCGTTGACGAACCGCTGAATGTCTTCATTTAATTTTCAGGTCGATAACGAATTGAAAAACCGTAAAATAGTTGAAAATTAAAGTAATAGTTTGCCCTGGATTTTCAATCTACTGAATGAATGATTTTTCAAGTAAAAGGTTCAAGATATTCAATGACCGTTTTTAATTGAAATATAATTGAAGTTCAAATGACTCTGGGACTGAAATTCCAAGAAGTTATCAAGAGTGCACTGAATTTAATAAATAAATAATCTATGTTAGGGTGGATTGATGGGACTCAACAGATTGGATGGAGAAACTTGGAAATTTCTTATTAAAATTTCAGCGATTCTTCATTTCGATTCATTATTCAGTTATAAGATTTTAGATTCATTGTTAGTTCTCGTGGATGCCTCGGAGTAAGAGGAAAATGGTATTTGAGTAGTGAATGTTGTATTTATGGAACTTAAATGAAGTTTGAAATTTCAGTTGAATTGAAGTTGTGAAACTCATCGGGCCAACTGCTACGAACTTTACAAGGGGGACAGGTGTGGGTTATGGGTAAAAATAACTGCAGTATATGGAGTTATTGGAATTTCAGGAGGCAGAGGAGTTTTAATTAAAATTCTTTATGAGTTCCTCCGAGAGGTGAATGATCACGGGATTAACGTTGGATTATCTTGGCTAGAAAATACATAACGAAATTTCATAAATTTCTCCAATCTTCATCAATTACCGTGGGTTCCCAGGGGTAATTAACGTTCATACATGCCCAGGAAAATACTCCAAGAACTGTGGCACTTTTATTACTCCGTGATAAAATTACGGGAGTAGCCCAACAGTTCTATAATTAATAATATCTCCAAGTGGTAATAAACCAATTGTCTGTATGATTCAGGACACGATGATGGACTGCGGGAGTGAGGGAGAGGGCCTGGACGAACTCGTACACCTGAGTTGTCAGATTTCCGACTCTTTACCCAACATTCGAGGTGAGTTATTCCAAATTGTACCCTTTTCAAATTATTTTTATTATTTTCAAGTATCGAAAGAATCTTCTTTTTTTTCACAAAAACAATATTATTTGCACAAATATTGCATTTAAATATCACGCGAAATGCAATTTCAAATTTATTATAATACATCTAAATGAAACATCATACAATATTTTTGAATATTTTGTACAATATCGTTTCTGATATACATATCGTTATTGATTATTACTTTTATTATTATTATTAATTTGCCAGATAGCCTCATGTAGCCTTTTACGATCCCTTCCCGAACGTTATTGATTATTACCATCTATTATTATTTAAAATTAGCATTATTTATTGGTTAGTATGTGCGAAGATGAAGAAATGCATATAAGTTTAGATTTATATAACTTTCAATATATATATTTTTTATGTTAGAAAAAATTAGAAACTGGTTCTGGTTCTCTTCCTCACCCCTTGAGACCCTCTTGTCCTCTTCCTCACCCTCTGTTGCACCTTTAAAAGGTCGTGGAGCATGACCTCACGATGTTTCTCTCAATACGAGCATTTTCCGACACTAAAAAATGGGGAAAAATCCGTTTCCGAAGGGTCAGAGTGAAATCGATCCCTTCTCTGTGAGATTTTTCATCTTCCCCGTCTCTCAGGAGACGTGAGAATTCTGGAGACCATCATTTCCCCCGATTTTCCATAAGTGTTCATAATTTTTCCCATTTTCCTCGAGATTTAGATGAAACATTACAGTTCCGAGATCTTCCAGAGGTATGAGAGAAATGGCAAGAGAAATGTTTCTGTTGGGAATTCAATTTGTTGCGAAAGAGGTCCTCTGAGGATTTTCCTTCGACCGTACGGTTATGGGATATCAATAAAACTACTTTATTCGATTTATCTTGCTTTACCAATTTACGATTGAATTTATCATGATAAATCATTCATTTTATTGTGGACAAATAGATATATCAACAGATCTCATGAAAAAGACAAGTCTAATAATTTATAATTGATGGATTATTTAAAATTGAATTGTTGACTACGGATTTGACAGCGACATGGCGAGTAAAGGAGGATTTTTCCTGATTGTGGATTTATCGCGAAAATTATGGATTCACGGTGACAACTCTCGTCGACTTTTTGTCGTAAGTTATGGATGAACGCTTCTATGCCCTTTCTATCAATACGGAAATTTCTCTAAAAAATTGTGAAAAAAAATCACTGTGGAACGGTCTGAGTGAAATCGACCGCTCCTAAATGACGGTGTTTAATATTCCTCGTCTCTCAGGAAATATGAGAACTGTGGAGACAGTAATTTTCCCAGATTTTCCACGTGTGGTAATTTTTTTCGTTTCCCTCGATATTTGAAAAAAAATTTACATTTCCGGACTCTTCAAAAGGGTGATTATCTCAGTAATGAGTTGATTTTAGAGAAAAGGTCAGATAAATATTTAAATAATATGGCAGGAATTAAATTGCCTGCGAAAACGGTTTTACGACCATTTTCTTTGATTAAGTTTATAGTTTGAGGTTTTTCTCTGATTATTATAATATCAAATCGTGGTATTCATAACGATTATGAATGTAAAGCATCCAGAATCCGCCTGGACCAGACGAAAAACAATTTTTCCTCTCTATTATTCGAATCTCATGGGAATTTTGCTCCACTAACTCACCCATGGGAATTACCTGTTATCCGTTTTTACGTTGAGTCTGGCCCTCTTAATTTCGCACGAGTCTATATACCTCCCCTCTCCACCATCCAGCTCAGTTGAATTGAAGTGAGAGAGAGAGTAAACTGACCGATGCAACCCTCGAATCAGGTAGGGGTACGAAATCTTTTTTTTCTCCAATCCACTCTATAGACTGACTCTATGGGGTTCAATAACACATTCAGTTATACCTGTTCCTGGGAACCAGATCTAGATATCCAGAAGTTTATGAGAGAAATCATGTTGACGACGTGTAAGGATTAGTTAAGAATCATTCAGAAGAATGAGGATGGGAGAAATTCTGTGTAAGTTCATCTACAATTTTTTTATTCTGAATATTCTTATAAGAAATTGAAATTGTTGCTTAATTGATTGAGTTATTATTTTTAAAAAAGCAACATCAATAATATAAGTTCGCAAAATTGAATTTATTTACCTGGAGTTCCAGGAATGTGGTTATTTCGTTCTCGATGCTCGTTTTTTCAGGTTATCTCGAAAAATATTGAGTTCTGTAGGGAATATTAAAGAGCGTTTTTTATAGATCTTGAAATTCTCTATAAAAAATGTCTTCTGGCGTTTCATCATAAACTCGATATTTACGGAGATATGCGGAAGAGTCAAGGAAAAGTGTAACCGCGTCGATTTACTTATCCCCACTCCTCAATTTTTTTCTGCGCATAAACAACAAATACCTCGCGTTGCAGACGCTGCGGAACGTCTCCTAACTCTCCTGGGTGTTGATGAGGATGAAGACTCTTCAGAAGACGAGGGTGTCGAGCTTGATCTCGACGACGAGGGGCTTGATAACTCGAGATTTCTCCACCAGCTGGCAACCTCTCTAGTTCAAGAGTTAAAATACACCCAGAAGCCCACATCCTTTCATCCTTTACCCCTGAACGACCTCCAGGAGCAAATCCAACAGATGGATGTGTCTGGAGAGGAGAATCCTGCCCAAGGTATTCTCCAGAGCAGTCAAAACTCCTCATCATTTTCCCAAAAATTCTCGAATCCAAGCGAACAAATCGTGTCCTCTAGACCTAATCCTCATTACGTGGCCTTGAGAACGAGCTGCGACGGCTACATCACCAACAAGAGATGCAGACTCGAGGAGACGAGGGAGGAGGAGGAAAATGATGAGGATTCGGTTTTATCGGGTGATATTGTGAGCTCCTGGAGCGCAGGATGGGAGGCCTGTGCTACTGAAGCTGTTAGATACCTCCTTGAGGTCGAGGGACTTCCTCCACAACATCCCAAGGTCCTCTCGTTGAAGAGTCATCTGGAGGTGCAAAAGGACCGAGCGTTCTCTCAGTTTGCCACGTGAATTTGAGATTTTTTTAGGTTAAATGGTGTCAGGTGTCAGGACGACTGGATCGTTGAGATTGGCCCTGGATACCTGAGGGACTCCGTACACGGAGGGAGCTGCAGGTTGAGGTTATGGACAATTAGGGATATTCGTTATGTGTGACGTCACGGCCTTTATGTTTGTGAGATTATCTCGAAAAATAATTGTATAAGTAAGTGAAGTTAGGGTTAGATAAGATTTCACGGATACCATTGATCCAGTGCCATTTTGCCTAACGCCGATTCGTCGATAATCGATTGGTCGAAAATCGGAAAACAATCGTAGAGACAATGGCCGCGTGAAGAACAGTTAGCATAAAAGGGAAAATCAATTATACCATGAAAATTGCAGCTAGTGCATTTTTGTTAATTGAATTATTCTATTTTCTTGTAACGCTCAATTAATTAGTTAATTAAAGGTTTTTCTTGTTGCACGTAATGGAACTATTGACTCACGAGGAAAACGATTCTCATAAATTTTTCTATTTTCAGTGAAACTTTTAAAATAATATGAATATATTATATTGATATTATATTGGTTTCAATCTATAAATAAAAGAAGTAAAACAAAAGGCTGAAAAATGAAGAAATTTACAGGCGCATTTTCGACGAATCGAAGGATTAGAGAAAAAGGATTAGAGAAAAGTTTTGTTGCAGAAACAATTGAAAAAAGCATTCTAAATTATTATAATTTATAATTTATTAAAAAATAAAAAATAAATTTTATAATTAGGTATAGCTCTCATCAAGTCACTTATCACTTTAGAACCTCTCCGTGTACGTAACGAAGGACTTTAGGGAAATACATATTCTTATTGTCCACTGAAGGAACATCTCGTCGACGACTCAACCTCTTCAACAGATGCTCTTTTATTTCTAATAATCAATCGTTGATGATGCAGTTCAGAGAAGTTGTAAAAGACCAAAATTCATACTCGAATAATTTTTTTACAATTTCTGCAACGAATTTAGGTATTTTTTTTATTACTTTTATCATTTAAGAATTTTTGGTTGTTGTAAATATGTATAATAATGATTCATTACGATGTAATTGTATTGCTACTTTTACATGAACATCCGGATGAATGAATGATAAATTAATGTAGATAAATAAACATTTGATGAATAAATTAAATGACAAGTGAGATGGTTTTGACTTGATCTTTAGGATGTAAAAATGGTAAATTCTTATTGTTTAAGCTGTTCTTTTCAGGAATTATTGGTAACGAATTTGGGGTTGAGATGGACGTCTCGAATTTTTTTTTGAGGGGGAAAGGGGGAATTTGAGACGATGGCTGGAAAAGGAACTCCACGAGTTTTTCAAAAGGAGATTTTCGACGCCAATGGGGCATCTGGTGTCGCTTCTCTCCCGTAGCACATGCCATGCATCTGCCTCTTGAAAAACGGTAGATTGACTCAACCGAGGAGTTTCGTTGAGTTTTGGAATATTATTAGAACCGGAGGATTCGTTTTTCCACATGAAACTTTACTCAAACCTCGTAACCTCATCCAACCAATTTAATGGTTTTCATAAATATCGATTTATCTAAAAAACTATCGATTTTAGAGGGAAACATTAGAGGCCTTTTTCGGAGGTCATTGATTTTTCCACAAAAAAGCTCTTTTTATACTTCACCATAGAACCAATAGCTTTTGGCCAAATGAAGATTTTTAAAACAATAATCGTACATATTTCGTTTTATCGTTGAATTATTGAATTTACGGTGATGAATTATTTAGCTAGTTGTCAGAAAACAGACGATCTAGCATTATTCGTGAACGATAGATTTTTGAAATTTTAGATATTTATAATTAATTGTGTAGCGAAGTGGTAAAATGCGATAACTTGAATTACGCTTTTTTTATTATGGATTTATGCAGAACGTTATTGGTCTGTGGTGACAATGTGAATGAACTTTACTTTAAGGTTGTTGTCGCGTAGAATTTTTTTTCGACAGTTTTCGTTAACAATTTTATGGTGAATCGTTTGAAAAATTAGCAACAAAATGAGCCTTCTCCGTTTGCAATTGACCGTTTTGAACTTGAGATATAAATTTTTGAAATTCGAGTGATTTAACACGTGTTTAAATGGAGTTTTGCCGATTAGAATTTTTTTAAAATCAACGGCTCGACAGTTTTAGAAATAAAAAAAAACGTGGAATATACATCGTGGGAGGAAATACAGAAAAAAAAATCAAATCGATTGACCGTTTGGTTTACGGAATATATTCATAAATTTATATAATTGAAAATAGTTAATATGGAAAATATATAGTTATGCTTTAGCTGTCCATGCACAATGCAATCAATCAAGTGAGACTATATACCGCTAAAAGATTGTGTTCTAAACTGGCCCGTTTTACAGCGGATAAACTTTTTACAGAGACTGTCGCGCGACAACCACCTTAAGAAAAGCAAGCTGATGCTTTTTTATGTAAAATCAATAGCTTTTCAATCAATCGATGTGTAATAAAAGTGCAAAATGTTAATAATCTTCAATGAACAAAAATTAATTTAAAAATGAATATATATTTTTTGTAAGTTGAATAATGGTTTTCGATAGTTGTTAAAATAGTCACTGAATCTTGAAAATGTAAATTTTTGGTGGAATTATTTCAGGAAGCGTAACTGAAGATTGAGAAATCCAGACATAAAACTCTTTGAATTTTCAAGTCTGTCAAATTTCCGAGGATTTTCAAAGGGAATTTTCATCTATTTTCTGGTGAAAGATTACGATTTTTTGTTACTCCTCATTTTTCTTTCATGAATCATTTCGAATTTGAAATTTGTAGAGTCCTCCATTTCTCCCCTTAATCGAAGTCAGTATATTTTCGTAAAAAAGAGATAAAAAAGAAATGAAATTTTTTTCTTCAGGATGTGGGCTTTGAATTTTCCTCCAATGGATTATATTCAAATATTTATTGATGAGCCCCTTCACGATAATTTATCGTAATCCACACATCCTGCTGAGTAATCCCCGCACTCAAGGTGTGCTTTGGAAATTTTTTCTCCTCGATCTTTTCGATTCCCTCATCGGCGTTTTTTCTTCACCTCCTGGGAGAAACAGCTGCCCAGTCTCGACCGTCAGATGGTAGATTTCTTTTTACATTGTAGTTGCACGTCAGCTGCGGGGGTGACGAGCGGAAGAGTTGATGTCGATCAAAACTATCAATTTTTTATGGAATTAAGGGATATATTTTTATATTGAAGTTGCGAGGGTCAGCGCATCGGCACGAGCTTATTCTTCACATCTGCTCCATTTATGTTTCTATATTTTATATTCTTTTTCCATTAAACATGTAACATCCCCACAAAAATATTCCTTCATTCCCTAAGAGCAATTTAAAAAGTTAAAATTACATTCACCAATTTTTGGGATTAGTCGGGTTTCAGGTAAAAAAATTATTTATTTTTTTTATTTCATGCTAGAAAACTTTTATTTTTCAATAATTAAATAGCTAATTAAGAGAGTTTCTTCTTTTCATTTCTGGAATATTCTTCACTTTCATTTCATTAATTTTTCAAGTTCCAATTGAAAACCTGTCATCCTTAATTCCTTAAATTTAATGTGATTGAAAAATTACATTGAAAAATAATTGAAAAAACATGGGTTTATCGATATTGACCTTGAAAGATCAATTAGTATAAGTGAGGGATCAGGACTGATTGATTAATCATCCGTAAAGACAATTGGAAAAAAATTCCTTTTAAGGATGTTCTGCATGTATAGTCAAAACAAAAGTTTATGACCCTTTCCATAATTCGTTATATTTATCGCAATTAATTTTCAATTAATATTTCAATACGTTAATTAGTTGAAGTAATAGCCATAGAAAATTATTATATTGTATTTGATTTATGAATAAATATTATATTGTTTAAAAAAATTAATGAAAACAAATTTTAGTCAATCGTCATGAAATTTTTACCATCGTTTGATATCGGCTTCAATACTAAACTTTCCAAATTTTAACAAAACGAGAATCCGTACCGCGCGCCAGCGCGCGGATATGAAACGATTTCTGTAAAAATCTGTTACAACTTTGTAATCTCGCGCCATTTTAAACGGACCAATAAGGAATCGTGGCTTCATGATTTCGAGATTTTCGAGATAATCGATTGTGTCAAGCGTGTTCCTTTTAGAATAGGATTTTATATTTTTGACTATATTTACAGAAATTTTTATTTTTCCCATAAAAGGCAGTGTTAATTGAAAACATTAATAATTAATAACCGCAAAACGGTGTTGTAAATAAATCTCAAATTTTATACAGGCATCTATTATAGCGTAAAAAATGGTATGTTAAAATTTCAAGCAATTCTTATATCGCTAACACCTGCAAAAAAAAACCTTAAACATTCCTTAACTTTTTCAATTTAATAAAAGAAAAGATACTCCACGTAAAAAATCATGGTAAAATGATTATTTTCTAATGAAAAAAATCAGCTATCAATTAATTTCATATTTTACAAAAAATGTGGAAAATGTTACGGGCATATATTTAACAATATATTCGTTACCATGTCAACCGAAATTACATAAAAATACCTAAATTATGTGTTCCTTTGAAATTCGAAAACCAAAACGGCAAATTCATCCTTCTGTCCCCAAATTTTTCATTTCCATTGACAAAAAATTGGAATTGCAAGAGAAATAATAATTCGTTAACAATAATAACCGCCATGCAAATATAATATTCAATTTAATGAGTAAGAGTACAATTAATGTAAAGACCCGAAAGGGTATACATCTGGAAATAAATATATATATATATAAATAAGAGTACAATTAATTCATAAAAAAAAACATTGACGATAAAATAATTATAAAAAAAAAATGAGCTATATATTTTTTCGAACGATTCCAATGACATGGGAGAGCTGATCAATTAAAAAAATCACGTCGATGGTTTTGCGCGAAAAATGTCGAAAATTAGAAGGACAGATGTTTACTTCCGGCAGCTGTTTACACGTGGGGGGAGGTAGAAATATGTAGGGGAGGGAGAGCCTCGTGTCTGCTGTCGAAAGGTGCACGTGCCCATCAGGAATAGAATGAAAACCTGGATCTTTCCACAATTACATTTTATTTGTTGGGGGGATATTCCCCATTCAGCTCAAGCTCCATTGTCTTGTCGGTTATTCCGGGATAACAGGGATAATTACTCGTTTTAATCATTACAATTTTCCCGTTGAAAGGAATATTTGAAAGTGTCACAAAATTGGATGAATTTTCTCGGATACGACGGTTAATTCACGGGAATAGATAACAAGTGGAATTGTTCTCCAGGAATATCTCCGGATGTGAGGGAGACAAGGGAATTTTACTTCCGACTTCTTTTGTAGGGTGAAATGAGGGCTACAAAAAAGCTCATTATGAAAATGACGCTATCTCTTTTAGATTTAGAGATACTCTTTATGTAATGAGGAATTGACTCTATGAAAGGGGCAAAATAACAATTCTACTAGTTTATGTAATTTCCAAGCGAAAATTGTGCACAGAGTGTAAGTAGTAATTAAGGTAATTGAATTTTACTGATGATGTAAATCAATCGTGTAGATTCGAGTGGTTTCAACAATAAAGAAAAGGGGCAATGCACATTTTTTATATATTGCCAAATTTCCTTAAATCTTCTGGATAATTCTTTTGAATTATAGGATTCGGGATATTTCTCGAGTCTTCATAAGTTTAAACGGAGTAATTCAATAAAAATTAACACTTTTGACGGTTTTATCAATTACTTGATGAATTTTCATTGAGAAATAAAATATTTAAGTAACTTAGTGTTTTTAACGTCACACGCCACATGAAAACTTTGGAAATGTTGAAAAATTATGCGATAATTTACTTGAATTTTCAAGATGAATAAGAAATTGTACGAAAATCTTCAATTGAAATTTAAAGAAAAAAGTTATAGTGCACTCATGTAGTGGAAAATTAAGATGATATTGGAAATTTCATATAGTTTATATTCAAGGCGACTGATGAATTACGTACTCCTTTAAATAATTAATTTAGAGTTCCTTTGGTCGATCCATCAATGTCTCTCGTACATAACTCGATTTGCCGAGAGGTACGTGTCCGCTTCGGTCACGAATTCCTCGTGCGCAGTCAATTTAGTTAATTCATTTGAAACTCCGGTGGGAGAACTGAGAAGTTATTGCTCCAATACAATGCACCATCATCCCGCATTTGGATTCATTCACAAGCTGCAACTCTAAATATATTCTATAGGCCAATCTTAGAAAGAAAATACATTTCTCACTTTTACAAAAATATCATCTCCGGCAACTTTAAATCCTAATTATTCTTTCCCCTAAGAGGCAGCCTAATTTACCAGTCAAGTAAGAAAATCAATTCCATGCTTTTTCGGTGTTACATAATTATTTTGCAGAATTCAAATCCGACAATTGTAAATACAAATGTTGGAAATGATTTTTGAATTTGGCTTTTGTAACAAAGTCTGCCGAAAACCAAAAACCTCGTCATCAATAGCTTCTTAAAATGATGCGGTTTTCAATTGAATTTGAAATTTATTATATGAATCGGCTTAGCAGCACGTACTTGAATTTGTTTATTATGTGAAATAAATAAACTAAATACTTTCTTTTTTGATAAATACAGTTACATGTTTTTTATTCCTCAAAGCTTCAATCTTTCGTTATATTAATATTCTTACTTTATATATGTTCAACAACTACAACTTGAAAAATCCAATTTAGCCTCTTTCGAATTTTTTAATATTCCAAGTGGATAAAAATCAAAAGTCTTCAGTTTTCTCCTAGATCTCTTCAAACGCATCTGACTAATAAGCTATTTTCAAAAACAGGGCTTCCATCATGCTCCAGGTCTATATCCCATCGCACTCCATTATTCATACAAGTCTTTAATTCTCTTTTCCTTCATGATCCAACCAAAAAAAAAATGATAGAAATGAAAAACTGAAAAAATGAAAAAATTTCAACCATCCAAAAAATTTTACGGTCTCCCTAAATGATTATTATTATATTGAATGATGATTTTTTAAATGTATCTGCTGATTCTTGTGATGATTCATTCATTCTCTAATTCGCGGTGGGAGTCATAATTGTTTGAATGCGAGGGGGTCGGAGGGGAAGGGGGA